CCACCAGTTGGTAGTCCTCTACAGTGCTTATAATAGGGGGAGAAATAGTGGAGGACGCCTCGACCCCAGAGGGAAACACCCCTCATAACTCCTTCTACAAAACCGTTCCGCAGCTAGAAACTGCAGATTTGGAATCAGCATTTCAAGCGCTTTAAGATGATATATGTCTCATTTGGATTGGTGCTTTCGACTAAGCATCCCTCTCCTTGTAAGATATTTATTTGGAAATGGGGTCATTATTCACTAATATAAACATTGAACCGTCGCCAGGTAATGCAAAACAAATTCCTGGTAATACCTGTTAGACGTGTAGATGACATGTCCAATTTTTTTGACAAGTGGCAGAAGGTTGACATTTCTTTCTGCGAATTTGGTACCAAATATGGTACAAGGTCAAAAGAAATATCCTTTTCGAAAAAATGGGTCCGGATAACGGAAAAGTACCAAAAAAACTAAGGGATATTGGGATTGGTAAATTCTGAGGCATTGGTGAATTTCCACACCTTCATACAAAAACCCGTTCATTTCTGGAATCTATACTCTTTAAACATAGTGCTGAAAAAGGTCACTTTCGTGAGAACGCTCTAGACTCACCTAATTGTAGAGAATGGTTGGTTTCAATGAATCAAAAACTTTAAGGCATTCAGAAGAACAACATGTTATCAAAATATCCTTCAATGTTTTGGAAAGGTTGGCAGTTTGAAGAAGAAACGGCAGGCAGAATACTTTACAAAATCGCAGATGACTCGCATGTGTCTAGTTCAACAGCGAGGCAGAAGGAGAATTTTACGCCTACGAAAATGTTGTCGACATTGATACAGAGTTGGCAATTGAGCGAAACTCTTTCCTGCATCACAAATCCAAGCAGATTGCCTAGTTTCAATGAGGAAATGTCCAAGAAGTATTAGGTCGTTCCGAAAATAATGTCGCTTTTTTTAAATGGACGCCACATTTCATGGAATCAAGATTTTCAAGAGATCTTGGAAGCATTTGATGCAGCATTTTATTCTCTTTCTAATGTTTACAATTTCATTGCATAATATCCAATGAGCGCTCCAAAAATTACCAAAATCTGCGACTCACGCTTTTTGCCATGGTCAAGTTCGGCTATTTTTCTAAACTTTTTTACATATTCTCCGAAGAAGTACAAGTGACAGGTAGATAGAGCAAATCCTACAGGACACAGGGTAAATTTTTTCTTTTCCTTAACTTGCTTCTTAGAGTTTCTGAAACCAATTTTTCAATGCCATCAAATTCCGTATTTGGTCAGCTCAGACCTCACAGAACAACAACCGGCAAGCAACTCGGGTGCCATTCGACGTAGCTTTTTCTCCTCTTTCTGCCAATTGTTTTTTGTTTCCGATTCATCAAGTTTTCCGGGATAAAATCACCATAATTCAAGTTCTCTAGGGCGCCCCAGGCTGTACCGGCATTTTCGAAAGTTGCTAATTCGAAGCACTGAATACTCATTTGACTTGTAAAATTAGCGTTAAACCATAATCCATCTGCGTAAGTTCCAAAATCCGAAGATTTATTGATGTTTGATGCATTTGTGTCTGAGACGAGGCTGCTGAAATTTGGTGGTTCCATCAAAAAATCTATACAAAAATTATAACGAGCTCTGGAAAGTAGAAAAAAGTTGTGCTGTTTCCTGTAGGGTTTGCTCTATCCATCCATTACTTGGACTCTTTTCGAGGGTTGTTATAAAAAATTAGAAAAATTGTGAAACTTGGCCTTCTCAAAAAGCACGGGTCGCAGATTTTGATAATTTTTCGGAAGGTTATCAGATTTTGTGCAGTGGTTATATAACCGTTAGAAAGAGAATGAAATGCTGCATCAAATGCTACCAGAACCTTTTACTTATCTTTGTTCCACGAGATGTGCCGTTGATTTAAAAAAAGCGACATTACTTTCGGAACGACCTAATAAATTGCTGATCTTTAGGTTGCTGAAGATTTCAAGCTGCTAAATTCACGAACATGGATATGAACAAAAGGAAAGTGTTAGTATAAAGCACAGCTACTGTTCTTAGATCCCGACTGGAGTACGAATTTAGCTCTGTGCTTTATGCTGCTAGAAGTATCTCGCCTTTTGACTTATGACCGATATTGAGAAAAAACCAGCGCGCAGCATAGTATCGACTTTTTTCGGCTATTCCGCAGATGCTGTTGAAGAAGAAGTTGAGCAGCTTTCTTGTCAGCTAACAATACGTATGCCAGAGGAGGTGCCAGAGTTTCAACAAGGCTCAAAAAAGTATGCAATATTTCCTTCCCGTGTTGCGAAAGCATATGCGGTTTGGCTCTTCCCCCAATACTTACCCCAAAAATCTGATGGACTTACTAGCAAAGCTAGTTCCCATTCCGACTAGCACGGCAGAAGTGGAGAGGGGATCTTCTATCTACTCCGTTATCAGAACATAATGCAGAACTCGCACAACGGTAAAGCATCCAAGCAATTACTTAAAATTTGTCAACCTTCTACTAAACATATTGTTATCTAAAAACTTCATTCAAAGGATTGGCAATAGTGGTCCAGACAGGCTGTTACCGTATGACTTTTTGAAATATCCTAAAAGATGGTATGAAGAAACTGGTCACCTACCTGCTGACTTTCCTGGTGCTACCAGAGGGCCAGGAAAGAAATCACAAAAGCGCTTAGAAGAAAAAGAAAGTTTCAAATCCATTTTAAACTCAAAACGCTTTTGCACGCAATTCTACTTCTACTCCGATGACCTTTCGGAGGAAGGAGAAGATTTTTCAGGCAGCGAGCTTGTTGTCTCTGACGTTAGCGATAGTGATATTGTTGATGATGATGTGCAGGAATTAAAGTTCTTCCTAACTTGCACATCTTGGGATAAACCTTATCGCTTTCGTTTTTTGTTGGTGCAATGAAATAGGAGCACAGATCTTCATAAAGTCAACTTTTTTGATTTATTATTTTTTTTAAATCCTAAAAAAAATTTCAATTTCTACCTAAATAAGGCACAAATTAGAGCTTTTCATACCACGCTTTTTTACCTTTTCTCTCTTCCTCCCCCCTAGGCTCACATACCCCCTTCAACCTGGAAGGTCGGAAACAGCCGAGACCCCCCTTCACCTGGGGAGAGCCCGGCTCCATCTGTCGCACCTATGGTTTGAAGTCATATCTCACATTTATGGTGAATGCAAAGAAAAGACAAAATAAGAATTTTATGCTAGTCAAGACTAGATTTATTTGAAAAGTCTAGGCGCAGAAAGCCTCAAAGAGGTTTCTCAAAGCTTTTTTTGTTAGAAAAACCATCATATCATTTTGATTATGCTTTAGAATATAACCAAAGCCAAATTTCTTTTTTCGCGAAGCGATGAACGTAATGCATCAGTAGCAAAAGTTCGCTATTTTCAATTATACTTTGCCGGATATTTCTGCGCACTGGGCACTATTTCAGGTTTATAATTGCGTCTAGCATCGGAACAAACGCTCTTTGGTTGTAAAGATATACGCTACTTTTTGGAGTATGAATCAACATGAGTTGTGCAATATAATGATGATTACTCACTTCCATAATAGCTTGCCAAGTGCTACCTCACTTACAAGGGAAGGATGGTCGGTCGAAGTGGCCTTTTGAGATGAGTTGTATATAAAGATTGAGATCACGACACGCTGATTCCAAATCTATCTTCATTATCTGCGGCGCATCTTAAACGAGAAATTATGAACGTTTATCGGAGATAAAAATCAAATGTGCAAACAATTTAGAAATAGTAATAACATTTTTCTAGCGTTTAAGGATTAGCGGTAATCTGTCCGCTCTGTAAGAGAAATACTCCTAGATGAGGTATAAACGCACTCCGGCTGTCTCATTCAAGCACTGGTAAAATTTCTGCAGCTGTTTTTATCCCAAAAATATTCGTTTTTTTTGCTCCTTCAAACGCTCATAACTGCTCGTCCTGGAACGCTCCGCAGATAATGAGGACCGACTTAAAATCAGCATTTTAGCCCTCAACATCGTATACAAATCATAAAGGCCACTTAGACTGACCATCCTTCCCTTGTTAGATATTTGGCAGTCATTAATTTACTAAATAGTGAATACTGCTTGTGTGTCAGCACATGATTCTCTTGAAAATTTTGGTCGGAGCCACAATTAGCTTTAATGTTTGTCGTAATCAGTTTCTAGAAGGTAATTTCAGTAATTATACTCGAATGCTAGGATCTCTAGAAAGTTGTAGCCATGCCATACGGGCTCCTCTTCATAGAAACAATGCCTTTACTCTACTTAATGCTTTTTGGACATTGTAAAAGAAGTTTGAAGGCAAAAATTTAAGCTCAGGATTGCAGTATCGCCAATGTCCGACTTGTTTCAACAGCAAAAAAGTTAGTTTTTTCCTCAATGCTCACGTCTAAAAGCATCCAGATGGTAACTGAAACCCCATCGCTCCCGATCTAGCTGAGGAAGTGCAGAATTTCTTACCCAACGCAGGTTTCTGGAACGGAATACATGTGAAAGCATTTTCCAGTCAAGAAAGCAGATGATCGGTTCTTTTGGAGGTATGGCACAGCTTAACTATAGCCGTTTAATACTTTTGAATGTGGAACTGCCTGAAAATTTCGGAAGCTAGGAAGTGCTCCAATCAGCAAAAACTCTAGGTGGACCTATAATTTTGTCCAGCCTCCAAGCCTACTTTTTTCAAATTATTGAGTTTTTTCTTGAATAACCAAACGAAAACGGGACCCAATTTGATGACTGATAGTAAACCGGCAAACACGGCTGTACCAAATTTTGGAATATTTTATTGACAACAGAGTGAGTCATGGCATTTTTTAGAATGGATCTATAATTTTGTCCAGCACTGTATCGTCCCCTGAACTGGGCGTGGGATGACGTGGTGATTTTTTGTTACTGTTGTGTTTTTGTGTGACTAACACTTTGACCTTATGATTTGGAACGCCTCGAGAGTATGATGAATGAATGAATGAATGAATGAATGATTGATTAGGCAATTCTCTGCCAACAAAAATCCTTTGAAAAGCTGAAAGTTTATTGTCCATCAAACGACAGTTTAAGCATTCATAATAGCTGCGTCAACCATCATGGATTCAATATCGCATTCGTTGGTTCCTCGGCGTATCTTGAAGAGGCCTAAAGTAGTGATTAGTTTTCTTGAAAATGATGTTTCCGTAAGCGTTCGCAAAGGCCCAAACAAATTTACCGTTATCTCCCCAGTCAGTGCTCCAGGAGTTCGAAACGAGCCAGTATTTCACACCATTTTCTACACCCCATCCTATGAGTTTGACAGCGTGACCTCCACCCGTATCCTCTCCCCATGTTTGCTGAACTCAATGATTCAAACAAAAAAAACTCTGAAAGCTTTTACTTGCAGCACAAAATCATCATGTTTTCCCAAAGAGGAGTATGTTTCACGCTGCTATTTGCTTGTGTAATTTGAAAATCGTTGATGACTTTTTTAGATTTTCGTACAATCTTTCTTCTATACACTGCTTTTACGGAGCAGGAGAAATTGCTCTTGCAACACAAAGAGTACACCTCCTTTAATTGTCTTCACGTTACATATTTCGAAATTTTTGAGCCAAGCATTACCCATTAACGAATATGTTTTTACATTACGCAGTTGATAGACTCTAACAACGCATTCAACAAAGCTTTTCTAATCACAGCTTTACTTATCGCGCAAGCCTATCGATATAATTCAGAAAGCTTCCATTTACACAAACACAGGTAAATGCTTCCATGCTTATAAAGGTTGATTGACCTTATCAGCAAACGTTTTGGAGAAAATTTGGGTGATTCCTTTTATCGTAGATTGCGTATGTGATATGTGCAAACTGCTCTGCCATAGGTGATGAATATACTAACAAGGAAAGGACCCTCAGTCGAAGTGGTGTTTCCACACGTGATGCATAACATCCTGCTGGTCTTGGGGCACTAATACCAGATCCGTGTTCCTTAGCTGCTCAACGATCTCTAGGGAAAAGTTATGAGGGACGGTTCCCACGATGACCGCTAGACCTTATAAGTCTGTGGGCGCCATGAAATGTACAGATGTGGACGGATGGATGGGTCGATTTGTGGAGATTGAGGCGCAGGTGATGAAGGGTTGGCGTTCGCTATAGAGCCAAACTTTGAATTTTTGTAAACTTCATTTTATGAAATAGTAAGCGATTTTCAACGAGGAATTGTTCGTCGGAAATCGTCAGCAAATTCACAGAATACAGTTTGCAAAAATGCAGAGCTCTATAGGGAATGTAAACTCTTTATCACCTGCGCCATAGACTGCGCAGCTATCTGCCCGCCCGTCCACACCTGTACCTTCCTTGACGCCCCGGACTTATAAAGTGCAGTGGTCATCGTGGGAAACCCTAGCTCATAACTTTTTCCAAAAGGTCATTGAGCAGCTAAGGAACGGATTTGTAGTGCCTCAATACCAGCAGAATAATATGCATCACGTGTGGAAACCCACTTCGACTGAGGGTCCTTCTCTTGTAAGAAAGGTTCAAATTTAGCATAGCATTATAGTAAGTACTCACTACGTATACCCCCGTCTTGTAATAGAAGAAATCCTGGTAAACGTTGAACGCTGCTGTAACGGGTCCATTCGTGTAGATTTCCTTTCGAATCGCATCTTCGTTCGCAATGATCGAATATGCGGAATTTGCTATACAGCACAACAGAATTATTTTAATGCTGTTATTGCCGAGACTGTACTGCCAATTACCGTAAATCTTGTCGTAGTTATAATCCATGCTATATCCAAGCTGACATTGCGCACGGCAAGCTGGTGTGGCTTGCCTCTCTTGACATTCACCATAATATGGTTGACCCTCATGTGGACCACATGGATAGAAGGCGTATGGTTTGCAGCAATTCTGAAGAATCGAGCAACAATTCTATCCCTTTGAGGGCGTCGCATACCTTTGCATTGTATGCACCACCAGTACATACTCCATAGTTCATTCCATACTCATAGGCTCTGATGGGTAGCCCTCCATCACATCTGTAAATTATCAGTAAGCGCTTTTACTCCAATAGGAAGACTGGATTAGAATCAAGGTGTGAATATAAAAAGCTGCCGGACTTATGTTTTTCTGCTGTATTAATTCCTCTCGAAAACATCTCAGTGCTTTCCTTAAAGACAAGTATTTTCCTGACAGTAAGTAGTTTGAGAAAATCAGTTCAATCCGAAGGACCTCGCTGAGTGCAATTGTAGTAAAAGTAAGAAAGCTTGGGTTTAGGCCAAATTTCGTAAACGTAATCAATATCAGAGTGCAGTTTGCACGGTAATACTCTGAGGTAATAATAAGTAATCGAGATGCAATATATTATAGAAACGTCAAACATTGCGCATTTATGCAAACAAAAAAGTTTCGAGAAAAAAGATAAGGATAATTACTATGATTATGCTGCAAAGGCGGTTCTCCTGAACGGGAAAAGGATTTGGTGAACGTGGCCTTTCGTAGTGTGTCATATGTCATGATATCCGCCTTAAAACGCTGGTCTCAAGACTGTGTTCATTATCTGCGGAAGGATTCTTCGGAACTGTATCTCTTCGCGTCTGACTTGTTTGCAACAGAATAGATATAATGTTGATAGAGGCTAGAAATGTCGTATGTTCTGACGGTTAGCATTGTGTTATTGCTTAGTGGATGTCAGTTGATCTCTGCCGGTGCGAATTTTGCTTTCGCTTCCCCAACCAGTACTTTTTCTCAGGTAATCGTTCGAGTCTTTTTGAATCGAATTTTTCGAGCATAACGCTGTGGAGAGGATATAGAAGTTTGTTGATCTTAGGATGATTCAGTGAAAGAGATTGCAAAACATGGCTTTTCTAACAACGAGAATTAAGCCTCGTATAATTTTAATTAAAAAAATTCAGTTTTTCTCATGTGTTATACTACGGAAGTAAAATCTTCGTTTGCTGACAAGCAGGTCATTGACAAAACCGAGCAAAAATGCTGGGGAAAATTACTAACGAGTCACTAAATACACTTTACTAAAGTAAGATTCGAGAAACCCTAAAGTACAAAATAATATTAGGCTGGTGCAAAAGTTCTTTCCTACCAAATTCAAAAATTCATAACTTGTTGAATTCTCAACGAATTTGCAAGGTCTGAATTTTGTTTGAAAGCGAATCTCATGCTCTTTGCAAATCTACTTGAACAGTTCGTTAATGTGTATAAATGAAGGAAATAGAAGCTCAAAATCAAAATTACTCAAAATTTGAATTTTTCGTGTAGGGTCATAAAAAATCGGAAACTTGCGATAAAAATTGGAGCAGTCACTATTGTAGGCTCTTTCACAAGCTCTTTCCAACAGTGTAAAGTTTGTGCCATTTGAGAGTCTCTGTGAAAGGTTATGAATTCCCTGAAAAATGCTAAAATAAATCAAATTCGCCATTTTGTATTGCTTGCTCGAGAATCATAACTTTTCATAGACACGCTCAATCAGCACAAACTTTGCAATGTTAGAAAAAGCTGATGAAAGAACCTACAATACCGACTGCATTTTTGTTGCAAGTTTCCGATTTGTTATGACGACACGAGAAATTTAAATTTTGAGTGATTCTGGCTACTAGCTTCACCTTTATCTGTTCTCGATAGCGAAAGCTTCAAGTACTCATGCAAAGAGCATGAGTTCTTCTCTTAAGTATATTTAGACCTTGCAGATTTATTGAGTATTTAACAATTTATGAATTTTTGAATTTGGTGCGCAAGAACTTTTGCACCAACCTAATAGTTTCAATAAGGAAGCACTTCAAGTACTAACTTGTGTTTCTACTTGGAGTTGGAGAACTTCTAAAAGCATCTCATGCTTTTATTTTGTGAAACTATCTACTCATGCACTCAGTTTTTGATCTTTACAGACCATGTAGGTCTGTTGAAATTTATTATCGGTATATACACTTGTCTTTGATAATCGAGCATGTAAAGAGTGATTCCTACAAGGCAAACTTAAGACTGAGCGCTTTCAATGTCTCAAACGTTACCGATGCTGTTCGGTGAACAACCATTGAAACACTAGACATACCCATTACCACAATATTCACCACAACATGCAAGAATATCTGTGTCTGAGATTATCCTCTGCAACAAAAGGTGCTTTCTGTCTTATATTTTCATATCGACTTTGTCAAACCTGATCTTGCCCCATGGTTTGTATGCACAATCTATCAGACATGGCTGAAGCTGCAGATACAGCCCAACAAGATCCTGAAGTATGGATTTATACCACCATAGCTATCATTTCGAGTTCAATTACCGCAATCTGCTTGATCTCTGATAGTCTTTATAGAAACGCACTGGGGCCACTTTTCTCGAGCATCGAAACTGTAACGCATGTCATGAAATATTCTATGTTCTATGTTCAACATAAACTCTGAAAGGGGACCACATACCTTTCTGGAAGATTCTCATTCATAACAATCTCCTTTGCTGTTACAGTTCCCTCAGGTCTTTTCAAAAATTTACGATCCATCAGGTATGACTTGAACTTTTCGTACGACATCGTTGGAACTTCTGCCTGAAAAAAGATTGTGTCGTTACGGCGTGAGCAGATCGTATGTAACTAAATTTGTTGTTTATCTGGTTACCTTGAAGAAATGTTGATTTGTGTTGAGATAATTAACGACTTCTTGATCCGACATGCGGTTGGCATCTGTGAACATGTAATTTTTCCTGCTGTTTCGTTAAAGTTAAATTGCAGCTATTTCACATAAGCTTTCAGCTCCAATGACCTCGAATGTCTTGTGCAAATCTAAAGTGTTTAATAAGCTGCTACGCACTGACCTACAGACATGCCTGAAGCCGGTATAAAGAATACGGTCAGCAAAAACAGCATTTTGGCCATCTGGAAGCAAATATATAACATCAAAAATGTTTTCGGCGAGATTTTTTGATAAAAGTCAGTACAAACTTACTGTGTTAGAGTATGGATGGTCAGAATCACAACAAATTCCCGCTGCTTCTTAGTATTTATACACTTTCCTAACTTTTTTACAACTTAACTCTTGCGATAAAGAGATTAGAGAAGAAAGTGATATGGGCGTTCACCAAAAACGAGTCAAAGACTTGCTCCCAAGTTCTTAAAATCAAATTCCTTTGTGGTCATATCATTGTTTTGAAGAAAAGGGTGGGGAATGTGTGGTTTCACGTCAAAATCCTAAAATTTTGTTTAGAGGAATGAATGAGATACGTGAGAGTTGCATTATACTGTGGGCTAGAGTAATATAAGTCCTCACCACTAAGGTCAAGCTTTTATTTGCGCCTGCGAATTGCTCCTTTCCGTGAGGACAGATTGGCAGCATGTTGCTGATTGAGATGAAAGATGTTTCAATCGCTGCGCTAACACAAATCGTACATATTCTTCAAAAGTGCAAAACATTTCTATCGTCCCCACATTTTCAAAATCGTTCCCCATATAGGCTGCGTTCACACTGAGATTAAATGCTGTGCTGGAACTGTTTCCGAACATGCGGACCACGCAGCCATATCTTCCCCAATCAGCGTCACTTAATCAATTTCTCATGCCAATAAAATAACGACTTTCAATGTCAGCTTGGAATTATGTTTCATTCAGTCATCGAAGAGGTCCAAATCAACAAACAACTAATTTTGAAGGTCGAGCCTCCATTTTGTTAAGCCTTGGTGTACATTTTGAATACCTCCTTTTCTCCTGCACTTACCCAGTGTATTTTCATTCTCACAACTTTTTTGTAACTTTCTTGCGGAAAACACTGAGTGAATTTTGGAGTCTTAGTGACCTTTACCCCAACCTACGGCAAAGCAGACGGGGAATGAGGGGTACTTAGCTTTTATCGCAGAAGCTTATTTGTTATCATTGTTACGGGCGTTGCCAGTGGATGGCAAAATCATGCCATTACATAAGACGATTAAGATATCCCATCTAGTTACTGTAATACAAATAAATGTTTTTGATTATCAGAGATAAGCCCTAGCTTAACCTTCCGTTTGACATCTTCAAATTCTCTAACTAAGCTGTTTTCTTTGTAAATGTTTGCAAGCAATTGCTCTCTCCACCTATGACTCAGCGGAGGAGATAAAAAAGTTCAGCAGTTATATGCATGGCTAAAATTAAGCAGTTAGAGATTGTGCATGGTTTTACATTCAGGTGTTTATATCCTTTCACAGTATCTCCTATCTTCGAGGTGAGGAGTTCAGAGTTTGGGCCAGTTTAATGACGGCTTCTCACTTCTGAAGAAATAGGCAAAAATTGCCAGCATTGTCAGTGTTGCATTGCTGTCTAAAAAACTTTGAGGATACCAAAAAATTCTGATAGTAGTTTATTCACATACGCTGATCCTGTTAATCGATTTTGTACATGCTTGCTTGTCATACAATGTAACCGAACGATTACATTGCACACCCCATAACTATCGTTTGATGACAGCGTCTTACCACAATTTAGCCCTCGTTATTTTTGCGGACTGCAAGCGCTCCCGACCTTGTAAGCCAAAGGGCCATATTTCCACGTAAAATCCCAGCAATCCATTTTCCGAAGTCTCCGTACAAGAAGCGCGACCAATGTCCGGCTCTACCTTAGCTTCGGTTGCAAGGTTGAACACGTCAAAAAGGATGATATCGTATGAGAAGATGTGCTGAAACGCAGCAAGGGAATCGAAAAGTCGTCCATTGCGCGCGAGCAGTGCGCTCCGAGCGCCGTCTAAGCCCAATTTCCTCGGCGGGAGAGAACTTATCAAGTGGGAGTTGGGCATTGGCATAGTAAGGAGGTGCCATAATAAAATGAGTAAAAATCCAGTATACTCCAAAAACCTGATGGGATAATGTTTGAGACTTTATGATACAGCGAGAGTACTTGAGTGATATTAGCAACTGTGTGATTAAATAAAGTTTTAATTTTTAAATTGTTAAAGCATGTATTCTTCCTTGAATATACTAATTTCTGTCCTTTTATTCTACGTTGTAGCTGTCCATCAAGTAGGGATACCCTGAACAACAAAGGACAATGTAGCAGTAGTGATCAAACAATGGGACCCACTTGGGACATCTTTGTCACACAAGTCCATGGTCTTTCTCGTAATTGAGAGTCAGCCTAGCCTTGCCAGTCGACAGCTCATGTGATCGGTTATGGCCTTGAAAAATAAACTCCCAAAATTAGTTAGCGTACTCAATGCGAGCGAACCTGCCACGAAACAAGAAGAAGTTATGTTGCCGTTTTCGAAATTAGCTAAAGCTTTCCAACCACTTTTCGAGGAGGGTATTGAAGAGTTTAAGTTGGTGAACACTGCCTCAAATCTTGAAATAAAGGAGGATTAACAAAAAGACGTGTTAAACTTTCGGAACGGCATGAGTTTTCATAAGCTGTAAATTGTAGAAGTTGTATGTTTATTGATAGCTCGGCAAAAATAAGACAAATGGCAAATGGTATGGTGACACATGGCAAATGATATTTTCCCATTGCTCACGTCAAAAAGCATCCAAAAGGTTGATAAAACCCTGTCGCTTCCGATCTAGCTGAAAAACCGCAGAAATTCTTACTCAGCGCAGGTTTCTGGAGCGAAATACATGTGAAAGCACTTTTAAACAAAAAAACATAAAATCAGTTCTTTTTGGAGATATGACACACCTTGACTAAGCAACTGTTTAACACTTTTGAATGCGTACCTGCCTAAAAAAATTTGGAAGCTAGAAAATGCTTTAATTAGTAAAAACTCGGGTGGACCTATGATCTTGACCGGCCTTCAAGCCTGCTTTCTCAAAATTTTTGATTGTTTCTTATAACCAAACGAAAACGAGACTCATTTTGTTGACTGATGGCAGGTTGGTAAACAAACCGCTGTACCAAATCTTGGAACATTTTATTGACAACAGAGTGAGCTATGGCATTTTTTTTAGAGTGGATCTATAATTTTGTCCAGCACACTGTACGACTAAAACCAGAAAGTTAGCGAGAGGAAACTCTACTAGCTGTCAGGAAAAGCTTCTTACTTAAAAAGTATTAGCATGCTTACCCGGCTCCGCACGGTTCTGTCAAAACACTGTAATAAACACTGTCCCATCCCTACCCCTGCACAGCTTTCCCTGTGCCAACTTCTACAATTCATTTCCCGTTCCCTGTGATGCTTTCGAAGTCAGCATGCCCACTTGCCCCCTGTGCCAACTCTCAGCTCTTCAGCTCAAATTTTGAAAAAATCGATAAAATCGATAAAAGTAACAGGCAGTGGCGTACCGAGGGGGAGGCCCCCCGAAAATGGGTCGCGAAATTTTTGAAAGTTACTTATATGGGTTATTTGTTTTGTGATCCCTGTGATTATGATTTGAGTGATTTGTTAATACTTCTAAATAATTAAATTAATTTTTAAAAATTTTTAAAAATTCAAATTAGCCTTGTAAAAAAATTCGTTTCTGGGGCGTGGCTGAAGCCACGCCCCCTTTTCTTAGGTTTTAGGGGTTGGGGATCCCCAAAAATTTTGAGAAGTGCCAATAAAATTTTTTCGGAGTGCGTGGCTAACGCCACGCACCTTCATTCGAAAAAATTTTTGTCGCGCCCCCCCGAGCGGAAATCCTGGGCCTGTAGTAAACCCCCCGGACGTCGTGACGTATAGCTCGGAGTATGCTGTGACATGTGCTGACTATCATGGAGCGAGGCTGGCAAAGCGGCTATCGTTTATCATTGCCGGCGGATGCGATCGATGCGTAGCGTCAGGGTAGTCGCACTTTGTCGCGATATGTCGCGACATATCGCGACATATAGCGACATATTGCGACATGTCGTGACGAACAAGACGGCGAAATACTTTGTCCATCATAGAGACGCAGAGACATAGCGCAAGACTAGAGCTCGACTACGCCAACCTCGCAATAGGTCGCACATGCACACAGTTCTCTATAACGCACGTCAACCGCAATCAATATCAACAGCTGATAAGCGCCTAACTGTTCGAGCAATGCGCCTCTCCCTATTCTCCAAGTACTTCTGCTGCTGCCGCTTTGGTATTTGAAAAAAGGTGAGTTTATTTTAACTAAAAAGTATGTTAGACTCATACTTAGCCATATTTTTCGTACTTATGCAGTTTTTCTTCTTTATTTTTGCTATGCACCTTGTTTGAGCAAAAAGTCCCTTCTTTGTGCCAAACTTTCGCAAATTCTTGATCTTTTCATCATTCTTGGCAGTTTCGACCACATATCTTTGCTGGTTGCTGTTCGTTAGCCATGCACCTCTCGTTTCCTTTCGTGTTTATGAGAAAGGACCGTCTGGCGTTATGGCTAATGGAATAGCCCATTTTTGAACGGACTGAATGCTGATGATAATATTTTGATTTTTCTTGTACACTTTCAATATGTATTCTACTTTAAATTCCATTTTCTTTCAAAAAGAAAATTCTAATTCACGTTCCTTTGCAAAATTCAGTTTGCCAGCAAAAAAAGATAGTGTCGCCTGGAACTTGTACCCCCAACGTCTAGCACACCAGCCTCTCACACTGGCACTGCGCTAACTACAAGCTATGCTGAGTTGTTGAGCTGTTTCGCAATAATTGCAAAAGTAGTAGCTAACCCTTCAACAATACTTACGGATAAGGCATGCATATCGTTTTCCCATACTGATTTGCTGCAACTGCTCTATTTGCTACATGTATCCTCTCCCTAGCAAAGCACGGCGTAGTAGCATACAGCGCAGCAAATGTGCGCGCTGCTAGACCATCTGTGTCTTGGCACGGAGCTGGCACGAATCTGGCACGGGCTGACACGCTCAATTTTTATTGAGGGCAACAGTCAAATATGGTCCTGCCATAGCGGATAATGGCGCTTCTTACAGCATGGTGTACAAAGATAAGCATAATTCTGCAACAGACATAGATCAACTGCGTTTTCCTATCAATATTGATGAACATGAGATAATGAGTCAAAATATGGAGAAAAAGGCGCGCACACGCGAGGATAGTTAGTTATTGGATTTCCTTTGATTGATTTACCTGCTCTGGCAAGCATAGTAAACTACATTCTTGCTTTGCTAAGCAAATACCCCACGGCATATCTGTACTCATAGCGCAGCGCGTGTGACCGCTGTTGTCGCGGTCATCAGCGGTTCAATGACGCGCGGAGGCGCTCGTTTTGCGGCGCCCTGCGGATAGCTCGCTATAGTCTTGCGAGATACTCCGAGCTATCACGACATAGTCCCTCTATGTTGTGACAACCACGAGGGGTTTACTACGGGCCCTGGGTACGCCACTGGTAACAGGTAATACCAAAAATCAATATTGTATTTGGATTCGCCATGCTCACTTACCCCCTGTGCCAACTCCCAGCCCTGTAGCTCAAACTTTGCAAAAAATCGATAAAATCGATAAAACGATAACATCGGAAACTACAGTCGAATAAATTCGTGTGATCATGTGTGACAAAAAATTTAGGAAGCTAGGAAGTGCTTCAATCACTAAAAACTCCAGGTGGACCTATAATTTTGATCAGCCTTCAAGCCTGCTTTTTTCAAAATATTTGATTTTTCTTGAATAACCAAACAAAAGCGAAACTATTGTTGACTGATAGTGGGCAGGTAAACACACCGCTGTACCAAATCTTGGAACATTTCATTGACAACAGAGTGAGTTATGGCATTTTTTAGAGTAAATCTATATTTGTCCAGCACTGTATAATAATCGATAAAGTGAATACATCCGTTATTGAGAGTAGAAGAGTTTTAGATAAAAGTTGACCACGTACTATTATAGTTGTGTATTTAAAAAAGAAAATGCGCTCCTTACATCTACTAAACAGCGTAAAGTTATGGAGGTCGTTACCGCAATTAAAATTTCAAAACACATCTTCCAACGTGGTCACGAGTCAAAAGCCTTCCCTCGTAGGTTGGACACGACAAAAAAAAAATTCTTTCTATTGAAAAGTGGAAAATGCAAAAATAAGTAACATCCAGTAAAATTACTTTATACATGCCTGACTCTAAACTTTTCATCGCCAAAAATTTAAGCCTAGTCTCGTAATTGGGCATTTCAATATAATTGAACTTCCGTCGGCACCTCATATATATTGGGTTGTTTCAAAAGTTCTACCCGTGTTCGAACTTTGACTTTGATTTACCGTAGCTTTTCTCAGAAATAATCTTTGCAATTGCTATAAACTGTATAACAATCTGCATATCTTTGGCTATTCTGCGCACCCTTTAAGATTAATACAGTAACAGTGGAGAAGATTGTATAGGCGAAAAATCGAGGGACATTTCCTTGCAGAAACCATCACTTTGCAAAAGCATAAATTTATTTGAAATATAGCTGAGTTGCACAAGCACTGCTCACAGTGTAGCCCATAGTCGACTGAGCAGTTCCGCTAATTTTGGATTTCATCAAACTCTTTCATAAAAATTTTATGCTGAAAAGTCCGAAAGGACCCACTTATTTTGCTCTTTCTGAGGCTTCAAAAAATGCAATTTTTGATATTTTCGATTTTGTTCGCCGTTGACAAACCAGGAAATCTTTTCGCTCTCTTAATAGCAATTGTTCTAGCTCTAACCTTACTATATAGAGTGAAAGTTCCGCGATTGCAATATGTTTATGATTTTTATGCGACTTGAAGGAACCATAAAGACAGGTTATTTTTGAGGTAAAAACTTGTAAGTTCCAAATTTTTCTGAAATCGTATCTCTGTAAGCGTTTCGTAGCACAAGTTTCCTGCAAACATTGTGTATGTTTTGAATAAAATTTTTCCTTTAGCTGTAGATTTCACGGCGATAAAACAAAGATGAAAATTTTACATTTGTTTCGCTGTCCTTTCAAAGTACGCAACCACAAAGCGAACAAAGATCTATGAAGACGAAAATATGCATGAAAAACTAGAAGAAAAGAGCTTTTGACTGATTCAAGCATGTTTATAAAAAATGGTTTCTTCCTCCAAAGTCGACAATTCGGAAAAGGTATTGGAAACGGGTAGAACTTTTGAAACAACCCAATAGTATTCGAGTGAACGTTCAGTTTGTTAAGCTTTCTCCAATTCACGTATATTCTTTCTTGAAAAAGGACTTTATACAACAGACCATCTAAGTGAGGCAAAACGTAGGCATTATCCCGTTTGAGAATCGAGGGATTATCGGTATGTACACTGCGGAAAATAGCAAATAATTCTGAAAGTGCTTTGTTGACTGCACAATCAATATGATTGGCAAAATTCAATTCAGAATCTACGAGTTCACCCACATCCATGGCATTAGAGCAGTTCTTCAACCTAATTCCGTCTATCTCATAAACTGGGAAGTCATCATCTCCAAAATGCATTACAAAGCTTTTTTTCA